TTATCTCCCTTTTCATTACAATTATTAATGTTATTATTATATTTTATTATTACTGTTAGTATTTTAGTTTAGTTATTAATCTGTTCTTATCTCAACCCATGAGTTTTACTTTTTTTTCCCAGTTCTCCTCCCCATCCCACTGGGAGGGGAGACGAGTGAGCAAGTGGCTCCATGGTGCTTAGTTACTGGCTGGGATTAAACCACGACACTAACACACCATGGGATCCTGCTCGGCAGCCAGAGCTCTCAACAGCACAGGCAGACCTAACCCCACCCTGAGCAAGCAGAAAAGTTCATGAAGTCAGGGAGGGATTTCCCTGTGTGCTACCTTTAAAGAAAAGGGGTGAGAACTTCAGAGTAGTCTTAAAGTGGGGAACAGCAGAACAGACAGTCTTATTAACCAAGAAAAATTTAATTGATACCAAAAAGAAGTGTTGTACAAAGTCAGGAAATGCAGTAATTCAGACTTCTTAAAAGGCAATGAAATGTTCCAGCTCAAAGTATATAAAATACTTTTTTTAAAAGGGGTTGCAGTGAAAAACTACTTTTGTTGGAGAAGAGTGTAAGCGATTTTAGTAGAGGAGAATTCAGAGTTGTCCGCAGCATTGTGCATAGTAGATGGTTGATAATTCTGTTTTGGGGAAGGAGGAAAGAATTTTCATGTGGGATGCTACAGAGCTGACCCCAAATCACCTCACAGAGAAGGCAGACAGCCCAGCTCAACCTCTAGACACCAGAACTATCATTTCCATCACAGAAGATGCAGAAAAGTCCAGGAGCTAAATTTACAGTAGAATTGGTGATGAAAACACCACTCAGCCTGCAACACACATGGAGAAGCCCATGAGTGCCCAAAAAGTCCAGCAAACCAAAGGTGAAAACTGCCAGTTCCTAACTCTACTTTTCCACCTCTTCCCTGAGCTTCCCTCAGTCCCTCACCTGAGTCCCTATGGACACGACCTGGTGACAGCCTCATTCCCTTCCTGTCCACAGTGCTTTTCCCCAGGGCTGTGCCTGTATTTCTGATGTCAGTGGCCCTCAGCACCCTGTTTCAGCAGGTAGAAAGACATCAGCTTGGAGGGAGGCAGGGTAAGAAGCACCGTCCTAGCGCAAGGGCAGCCAGGCACCAGCTGGGACGGGGCAGTGCCTTCAGAGTCCTCACGTGGTGCTCCCACAGAGCTGACTTTTATTTATTTTATTTTTCATTGCCAGGGTTGCAAGCAGCTCTGGGATTTGCTTGGGTCCCCCCACAGCCCTGCATCATCCCATCACACTGGCATTCTTTGGTGCTTCCTTTTCTTGTGCATTTTCCCAAATATCTTTTCCTAATGAGCCGGAATTTCTTGGTATAATATTTCACTTCAGGGTATGTTCTCTTTTGAAGCAATTCCACCTTTGCCCTACCTTTGCACTGTATCAAGTTAATCTTGTCCGTTGAGAATTCAAACCTGTTCTGTTCTGTGTGCTGTACAAGTCTTCAGCATTGCTCCACTTGCTCTCCCAACTGTTCTCTTAGTTTCTTTCCTCCTGTTACAGACTAGAATTTCATTTTATCTTTTCTGGGATTTCTGTCCTACTTTGACTTCATCAGCTATATTTGCCTATCACTAGCCTAAATATTAAAATTATCTGACTGGTTGCTGTTTACATCAGTGTCTTCCCAGCGCACAAACTAGATATATTCTGTAGAAAGCAGGCTAACACAAGATTGTCTCTTAGCTTGGAATAGTTCTGTCTTGCTTTTGTACTTGACGTTTTCCCTGTGAAAAGTTTGCTGCATTTTTGTGTGTGTGTTATTTCACTGTGGTTTACTTTCCCATTTCCTATTGAAATGTAGTTTCAAATGTAGCTAAATCTGTCCCCCATATCCCGTATTTATGAACATATGGAGGTCTGCTTTGCTTTATTGTGGAATTGATAGTTGGGGGCAAGGGGGGGTGTTTTGGTTTTGTTGTGGGGGTTTTTTTGGTTCTAATTTGCAAATCTAGAGGAATACTAGTTTGTAAAAGTGGAAGAATCTTACTCCTCTCTTTGCTGGATTTCTTGGGGGGGGGGGGGTTTTTTTAGTTCTGCTACTCCCTTGCCAGCTGTATTTTTTGTTTTTAATTACTTTTTCCATTTCTTTATGTTGCTTAAAGTTTTAGTCCTTTTGCTTTTTCATAATTTAAATTTTCCTGCTGCTATAAATCCTTATTTTAACAAGCATAAGCTTGCTCCAAAATAGAAGAGGGAGAGCAAGCGTCTTTATGGTGCCTGTTTTGCCTCTTTGAGTCACAGCTCTGTACCTCCTCCATAAATTGCATCAGCAAACAGTGCCAGCTGCAGAAATACACAACTTTGCAGTTATTACCCTTTACCTGCTGGCAAGTAAAATCTGATTAGTCTTTCCAAAGACCAAGTTCCTCCTCTCTGGTTTGAAAAGACAGAACTAGTTGGGAGGGACTGTATTTTCCTCTTAGCTATACCTCATCTTTCCCAAGCAATTCTGTCTCTGCTTTGCACGTGAGTCATGTTGAGCCAGCACATTCCATTCCTAATTTCCATCTTGTTTTTCCAGGCAGCCCCTCTTACTGAAATATTTATACACTTCCCCCAATTTGCCTCTTGCTTTTATTCCCTTGCTACATAGTCCCTTTGTACCATATCCCAGTTCCCTAGTATCTTCATCCACTTCTCCAGCATCTTGCAAGCTCACTCTTCCTACACAAGTCTCACAGGAAGGACTTCATTGTTAGAAACAGCTGCTTACTGCAGAAGCTATACTTTCTTCTGCTGTACAACAAAGTTCTCCAGGCTTCATCATTATATCCTGTCATTTGGAGGGCACCCAGATTTTTTAACAGAGTTCAGTGTAAGATCCCCTATAGAGCAGATGAGTGTTTGAGTTTTTTCTATGATTCCTCAGTCAATGAAACGTGGGCAAACGTTTGCTAACAGATAAACCCATTGCAGCTAATACAACTGCACTTTTCCTCTAGAAGTGTAGGTTTCTGTGATAAAAGCACCACTCTGAAACTTGTTCAGTGTAGAAAACATGTTTTGGCTTCAGTCTATGTAGGGTTTTGTACACTTTTAGATGTCAGGAATAACTAACTGGTGATATTTTTTTAAATAATGGCCCTCCACAGACTGACTTCCTTCTCTGTTTTGTATGCTGTGCTGGATTAAAGTACAATTTCCAAATGTTTTTTACCTTTAGAGAGCCAGTGCTTTTTTTGTTTGACTTAAATTGAAACCTGTGGAGAACATTTTGTCCTGTGGCCCAAAAATGACTCTGCTCTGAGTGTCCTGTAAGTAAGTGCTTGCAGGACTAGGGCCACAGTCATCATTTCCTACGCAGACATTTTCTCATTAGCTGTGTTTTGATATAACAAAGCGCAGGACTATCTAGGTAGCAGAACATTCTTTTAAGTAATTTGTGTCTACCGAGAAAAAGAATTGTCTGCAGTTCGGATACAGATCATTGCTTCACTTTCCTCATTCTGAAGTGTATATTTTTATCTGTCTCTGACCATTTTTATTCCTTGTCAAAAACCATCTTTTATGCTTTTCTTGATAGCTCTATGTTAATCTAATGTTCAGTAATCTGTAAAGCTTGTCCTATATCATCAAAACAACGTTAATGTCTTTGTACCGTAAAAACCATGGGTTAGAATCAATTTTATGTCACAGCTATCACCCTGATGGAATTGTAAAGCTCTGATCTAAACTAGATTGTCGTGACTTCTGGGACACCTTCTTTTAAAAGCCTATCTACTAAAAGTGACAAGTTTAATACTGGTGATTATTTACCAGAATTAAACTACATATGTTTAATCACCTAGACGAGCATTAGGCTACTTGCTTTTTGGGGAAGACAGCTGGCAGTCATTGTAAAGAAACTGGGAAGTCTGCTCGGTTGAAGAGTCTACAGAAGAATTCATGCTTGGCTGAGAGTTTCTCTCAAGCCCTGCTCTGCTGCTACACCAGCTGCGCTGCCTTTGTACAGCCAGACCTTGCTCACCTACAGCAGTTAAGGTTACAATCCTGCTTCACATGAGGAGGAGTTTAGATGAGAAGTAGTTCTGAATTGTGACACTTCTTACATGATAGTATTGATGCAATGGGAGGAGAGAGTGGGCATTTAAGTCTTGAGAAAAGGCTCTCTATAAGAAAGAAGTAAAGATCACCTCCCACCCCTATTTGTTACCTCATTCTGCCTCTGCATCCCACATCACCTTAATTAAAACACCTTATCTTTCTTCAGGCTTCTGCTAGTACCCTAATAAAATGTTTCCAATTCCAGGTCCTGCTCGTTCCAAGGCACTGGTGGCACTATGTGGAATCCATTGATCCCATCACTGTCAGCATAAACTCTTGGATTGAACTGGTATTTTCCTTTTTATATCATGATTATGTAGCACTTCCATGTCTGCATGAACTTTTGTCCCTTGCCTGCCAGCCCTATTGGGTGTGCTGTATTCAGAGGCCGGGGAGGGAAGGGCCCTTATGGATATAGTTTTTCCTGAAGAACCTTCCAAGGTTCCAGATCTGAAGCCTCAATTCAGCAGAAATCACATTCAAGTTTACCTCAGTCAGGCAAACAAACACAAGCTAAATTTTTCATGTACAATTTCTTACGGGCTAAGTAGCTTTGTGTTGAATAGGGGACAACAAAACAGCAACTTCACCTCAAGCACATGCTTACATGCAAAGCTACACTAGAATTTAAATCAGATTAATGTGATAGGAAGGAGGAGGCAGAGGATTTTTGAATTTTCTTTTCTCTATGATAGTTTTGATTTGCCTGGCGTTGGATTTTCTCAAGTATTTAATTAATTCTCTTTTCCCCGGGCTTTGATTTTTCTTGCTCATGTTAACCAGTATGTATGGGATGACTCCAGGGATATCATAGAATCATAGATTAGTTTGGGTTGGAAGGGACCTTTAAAGGTCATCTAGTCCAACCCCCCTGCAATGAGCAGGGGCACCTTCACTAGATCATCTCAATGCTCCAGAAGGTTTTCTGTTGCAAATTACTTTATTTATATATCTTTGAAATGGCCTGTGAAAGCTGCTTCACTAAAATCCTTACTGCTTTTTTTTTTTTTTAAACCTTGATTAGACTAGAAATCTGCAGGGGGATCAACACATGCGTTCAGCTGCTGTTCAAAGACCACACAATACGTATCTCATACCAACATCAAACCAAGCATTTGCAGAGCAGAGAAATTCACTTGGATGTTTCCCTCATGGAGAAATTTTCCAAATGAGACTATGTATTTAGAAAGGACAGCAGGCCTACACCCCATACTGAGCTCTCATATAGCCCTAAGTGCAGTCAGGCTGTGTCAGTGCCAGAGAAAGCACCAACAATATTGCAGAGCAACCATTTAAGCCTGCCTTAAATTCAAGCAGCCTCTGAGGTAATTCAGTGGAACTGGCTGTGTACCCCGTGCTTGGAAAGACCCCAATATCAACACATATTTGTACCCTAAGCTGTGCCTCACAAATTGTACCCCACTGGAGGAGCAGGTCAGGATGGGGTCAGTTGTGCAAGGCTGGTAACTCCCACGTGGCTGGGTGGTCCGTTAGCTATAGCATTTCTAGCTGTTCTTATGTGCTGCAAGGAAAAAAAAAAAAAATAGTGGAGCTAAACTCCATGGCCTTTCTGGTCATAAAGGTCTTGCAGAAGTCACCAATATCCTGTTTGGTGACAGCAAGAGCGGGTAGTCGTGAGGTATCATAAAGAGAAGAGTGTTTGCTGGATCTTGCTAGTGACTGACACACACACTCCCCCTCCCCAAATGTCAAAAGCTGCCATAAGCAAGTGTAGCTATTGCAACCCAGGTGAAAGTTCCATACAGAAATTATTCCTACAGCTGAAAATGGCAGCACTATTAGGTGTTGGGCAATCCATCTATAAAAATAAATTCTGACATGGATGCTAAAAGACAATACTGAGAACATTTCTGTTACCAAATCAAGCAGTTCTTGCTTGCAGCTGTCACCAGCTGCTTTCATATTGACAGATGTGAATCATGTCAACATTTATAGTCCTAGTGAAGCCATTAATTATATTGGCAAGACTTTAGAGTAGAAGTTTAATTTGTCTTCCACTGGATGTGAGTTACTCAGAGTATTCCTTGGTTCCTAGCATACTGTCATGCAATCACTACAACCATGTTATTCAGCGGACCAGGATGAATACCAGAAGTGCAACACACCTTAAATAATTTCTACATCTAGATACCAAACTCTGTGTTTTGGGGGCTTGCTATACGAGGCCATTAATAAGCCAAGCATCCAAAGCTGCCAAATGCTAAGAGCAATTCGCCCTGCTTCTATCCCAAATTCTGCTCAGGGTTCCAGGATGAATTACTGCCTTCAACACTCATACTGGCAAGATGCATGGTTTGCTTGACATGTTCCCTGAAGTCACAATTAGGCAATTCAGGGCTATGGGTTGACTAGGTTACATCTTTTGTCAAAAATTTGTATGTCCAAGCATCTCAATGAAAGCAAATTTATGTATCCACTCCTAGGCACTTGTCATTGAAATAACTAAACCACCCATCTTGTTTGGAGAGTCTTATTGTCTCCTTCCACATACAAGAAACTCAGTTGTGTGGGAAAACAAGCTAAAAAAGATCCTATGAAGTTTTGTCCTGCTATCCTAAACTAGCAAGTATCCAGCTGCCTGAGGGGATGACGCAGGAAGTGAAGGCATGAAACAAAGAGGCAGTTACTAACTGAGTTTTTAGTTTTTCAAGAGACTTTTCATAGGAAACATATTTTTCCTTCTGCTGATGTTTAAAACTGCAGCAGTATGTCAGCTGCTGTTACATGATAAAATATTTCGGGAGTTGGCTTAAGACTCACTTTTGTACCTCTGTAGCCCCCAGATAGTTGCTGCCTTGCTGTAACATCCTGTGTGGTTTAAGTACTTAAATTAGACGTAATATGTGTATATAAAAAATTTGCCATGTACTTCCATGGTCCTTCTAGTCCTAAAGAGCTATATATGTGCATACATTAATTAAATGCTAACATTGCATTGTAATTTCAAGCACCAGATTCAATTAACAGAACACTAGTAAGGGAAGAGATTATATAAATACACAAATCTATTTTTTGCAAATCCTTATTCAGATGAGTAGCACCAAAGCCTGCGCTGTTGCCCACGTGGGGGCTGTACGCATAAGTAGGAGTGTCAAAAGTCTGAAACCTTTTTACTGACTTCGCATACATGAGTATGGCTTTTGAACTAAGGCCATCCATTTAGTTCTTCCCAAGATCTTCCAGCTTTCTGCAGAGACTCAAATGCTAACCTATCTCCAAACACTTTCTATTCCCTTGAGACAGGATGCAGATCATGAAGCCCGTGTAGGAGAAGCAATAACTCGAATGCTGGTATGTGCCATAAAGTCAGCAGAAAATCCCAGTGATGGAGATCTCTGGCTAAATCCCACAGAGGTAAGCCCTCTTTTGCTCCCATTACAGCAGCGATAACAGAGAATTACTGACATTTTGCTTAGCTCCCCCTGAGTCTTTCTGCTGCCTGAAAAAAAGAAATTTTAAATTCCTTCCCTTCATGTAGCAAAAGTAATTCATAGAAGATAATCATGCAATGCTGAATTGAAACATATTTTCTTTTAACTGAGCATATCCTGGGTGTTTTCTCAGGTTGAAGCAACATCCCATGAAATCAATCTTCAGTACCTGAATAAAGCAGTGTCTGCATATTTCAAGTGTCAAAAGGCAAGTGTGTCAGAGCAGGCATGTTCCAGCAGCACCGCTGCAGAGCAAAGGACAAGTGCCTCATGCAAGAGGAAGAAAAGGGAAGTTGGCTATGAACCAGAGCGCTGCGGATTACTAACCCATGAATTTGGCTTTTCAACATTTAAAGCAGAAAAGCTGCAGAAAATACCTTTTGGACCTCATCTTATTCAAGTTTTACCACAGTCTCAAGAAGCAAGCTCGATGGGTGCAATTGCAGTTGAAAGTGACGGTAGAGATCTTCTCCATGAAAATGAAGGAGGACATTTTGGAAAATTACACTGCACCAGGAAGCAATTGGTAATGAGTAATGACTGTGAAATGCCTGCACATGAAATGGATTCGGACGGCAGTCCAAGTGCTTCACAAACAGCCCTTTCTACCAATGATTTGCTAGACTGTTTGGTTAATCCACGTGTCATCAATTTAGTGACTCGGCTGCTGTTGGAGAGAACAGGAGTTTGATGCCAGAGTGCTATATCATTTCTGAAATAAAGAAATTAAACGGCAGCCTTGTTCTGGATGTTTAAGCTCTGTAATAATTGAATGTTTCATTTCAAATAATTTTTAGGTACAGATAGACACAGTTAATGGTTAAGTGGCAGATTTGAAGTTGAGCTGAAAGAAGAATAACTGGTTAATGATGGCTGGGAAGAGAAAGGTGTGTTTAGTCAGAGAGCTTGTCAGTGTTACGAACAAAACAGAGCATACACAGTTGTGCTCCCACCATGCTGGGATCTTTAAAGTGTTCCACAGCTCTGAGCTGTGAACCGAGTACGGCTCGATGATGGACAACAGGAGAGAGTGCTGGGACAGTTACGTAGCAGAAGGGGACTAAGAGTGGGAGAAGGTAGACTGACACTGTAGACTGCAGCCCTTGACCACATTTAAAGTAAAATGGTCAATAAGTGATCAGTTGATCACATTAGAAATAGTAAATTCAAATAAACCTAGCCTCAGCCAAGAGGCGATGCACTCACTAATGCATCTACTTCCTCCCTTCCACAAAATAACTTCAGTTTTGTTCCAAAGCTGTAGGATGGAGTGAGACAAAAGCCCTTAGCAAGAAAGCGGCCTTCAGCTGGTTCAGAAGCACTTGAAGCTGGGAGACAAAAGGCCATTGGGAGGTTACTGTTATGATTTATTTAAAGCCAGATGTGCACAGTTTGCTATCTCTAAGGAATAAAACAAAGCAGTTATGACTTTCTACCTCTGTCCTACTCTTTACCATAACAAATCAAAATTTAATGTGTTTTTTTTTTTTCTTACGGTTGTAAGTGGTTGCTGTACAAGACCATCCTTTCTTCCAAGTATAGTAGTCCTTGGATTTGTTTTTGAAGGCTGAGTGGTCCTTTGATTAAAAGGTTATGGAACTTGAAATATAGGCAAGAAGGTGGGTTAACACTGAGCTATGCATGGAGGCTTGAAAAAAGAACTGGAAAGAAAGTTGCTGACATCATCTGGGATGCTCTTGCCTCCTCTGCTTTCTGTTTGCAGGGACAACAGAGAATGGCATTTTCCCTAGCCATGGCTCCAGAGGGGTTCTTCTGGGACAACTCCTGTGAAAGCCTCGCTTTCAAAACTTACCTTTGCTCATGTCTACTGGCACCTACAAACCAGTTTGTATCATTGACCCGTTCCCACATTCATAACTGTGCACCACCAACCCTGTAGCTGATATTTCCTTTGCCTGATGCCTATTGCCTGCTAAACACATGAAGCTAGTACTGTTTTCACAGTGATCACCCTCCAGCAATTTACAGTTGAAAAATCATGATGGCAAAGGTGCTTTCTCTCTGCTTTTATAGAGGTTGTGTGTTGGCAGGGCCCTGATGGACAATGGTAAGTGCTCTAGATATGTACCAACAGGTCAGAAATCCAGGAAACTTTGCTGTTTTAAAAAAAAAAATCCCCCCCAAAATCTAATACACTCAGAAGAGGACTAAATTGAAAAGGCTCGAAGGTTCACCTTTAACACACAAAGAAACCTTATCCTGATAGGCCCATTTGGATGTGGTTACTTCAGCTACTGGATGGGACAGAATTTAGCTCTCATTCCTCTGGCTGGGAAGGAAAGAGGAAAACAAAGTTGTACATGTAGTTTGCTGGAGACCTTGGCTTTGAATAGTGACTGTAAGTTAGTATAAGGGCCGTATCAGCTCTGTCTTTGACTCAGACGTGCAGTTTCAAATGTCCCACTCTGCCCTTATAATTTGGCTCAGAGCCTGATGACATCTACGTAGCATCTTCAGCAGCAGCCTGCAGGCAAGATGTGATTCTCAGCAGCGTGCGAGAAAACCCACTTTTCTTGGTTTGTGTTAATACACCAAAGCGTCTCAATGGGGTTGCACCGCTGCGACAAGACCAGAATTTAATAAACAGTCCCATTGATACAGTTCATGTTTGTGTGTTGGTACTGCTGTGCCAAAAGGATTAAAAATTAGTTAGGAAACATCTTGGTCACATCTGCTGCCTTTAGTGATTCACTAGGCTGCTAGGGAGCAGATCTGTGGAATAAGGCAGCTCCATTTCAATATATGGGCGCATCTCAGCAGAGCTGGGCTTTAGTGACAACCTGCTCGTGTCCTGCTGCTCCACTTGTCTCCTTTCCCAGGCTACCAGAGAGGCTGGGGCCAGCCAGAGAGCACGGCTGCTGGGAGCACTTGGTTGCAAATGCTTCATTTTAATTCACTGAGCAAAAATAATCTTGCAATAAAAAAGCTTTTATATCTACAATAGATACAGGTGGAGGAGGAAAAGCACAGGCAGTAAAGTGGAGGAGGTGGATGGCAACACCATCTTCCAATCCCTACAACGTGAACTTCCTTAGCTTAAGCTTTCCTCCCAACACAAAGATTGTCTTAACGTACCCCCCACGATATCTACGCGGAACATTTCCTCCCTTTGTATTTAGAATGACTGTCCTTGAAAAGGGTCGCTGAATGTTTCAGAGGTCTTCGCAGGACTTGCACCTGTGCGCAGAGGCTCCAGTGCCTGTGCTAGAGGACCCGTCATGGACTCAGCGTAGGAGCAGCGGTTCTCACAAGGCTGAACTGCATGCGTTCAGGGGTGCATTGCTCACCACTCTGAACAAATACCCTCTGTCTGGGGAGAGTCACAGTTTATGCCTGTCCCGGTACAGGCCATGATTTAAGGGCCAGGCTGTGGCCAGAAGCCATTAGCAAAGGGGACAGGGAAGAGAGCGGGTGAGCCTGTTTAGGATGCTAGGCAAAAGCACCAGAAGGACTTTTGTGTCTCAGAGGAGCAATATAAAATCTCAGTCATACACTCAGAACACAGGGGTAGAGAGAGAAATGACCACAAATTCAGAAAGTCACGTATGGCAAATGGCTTACACACCCAATAAGAGAAATTTATAGCTCTGACCCGATTCGCAGGATACCAAATGCCATGATTTCTGATGCTGTTTCTAAATTCATGGCCACTGCGTGGAGAAGCTCGGACAAGTCTCTACATATTCATAGTGTTAAAAGTAAATGGTTTCTGACCTCTCTGGCGACAGCCTGGCTCAACGAAGAGCAGGAACCCAGCGCCTAGCCCTCTGCAACCACTAGTAGAAAAGTTTCTTTCCCTCTAAGAAAGAGTATTTCCCACTCAGTGTTAGCAGTGGGCATGGCAACAGCAGGATCGTGACCAGGAGTCATCACCAGGACGGTCACAGCGGTGACACGCTTGTCATCTCGGCTTTAGCAGAGTGACAATAAGAGATTGCCACTGCACATCTCGGTGACGAAGTTAAAGCCGTGCTCCAGCCCCGGGGCCAGTCCAAGCAGCGGGCCAGGCCAGCGTTCATCTCCCCACGCACCTCCAGGCCATCCCACTTGCCCGGTGGAAACCCGGGGTCTTTCCTGCCCCAAAGCCAGATTTACAGAGTAGTTTGTCGGCCAGCCTGGTTCATCTCTCCGGGCCTGTCTGACGTTGCTACTCACTGTCCCTAAGCACAGCCCTTACCTAAAAGAATTTGCACTTTGCTTGTCTGCAAAGAGAAAAAAAACATACCCAAATCAAAAACTCCCACCTTTCAAGAGAGCACGAAGGGAAAAACCCAAATAGTTACGTCTTCCAGAGTTTTAGTCTTTCACCAAAAACCTCCCCGCTACATTCCACTGGGTACCATTTTATTTCACAGCACTATTCCCCCCGTGTTCATGTCTCTCAGGACTTCTGCTCTGGCACTATTTGCTTGATGCCAAAGAGCAACTCAGTTGCAGAGCTGTGACCTATGTTATGATATAGCATTAACTATAAATTGAGGTTTTAACTAACATGACACATTGAAGAGGCAGAGAGAATCCTTCCGGACTACTAATTGCCCTTTAAAATAAAGGCAGTGCTACATATTGATTGTTTTGCCAACTAGAAAGCTCCTTGCTGTGTTTCATGGCTACAAACATGAAGTGTTTAGGTGTACGGTGTGGGCAGGCTTCCTGACGTTTCTGGTGTTACTACATCAGTGGCTGATGGGGAAAGACTTTTGCAAATGGGTGACCTGGTTTTACCACCTGGTTCATCAGAACAGGTGAGGAAAAAAAGCCCGGATCTTCTGCACCATGGTTTTCTATCCTCCAGGCAAAGAGGTCTGACCGCACAACGAGATGGGGACAGACGTTGCCACATCAGCTGAAGGGGCAGTGGGACAACGGCACCTTCGCCTAAAGGGCCACACATTTCAGAGCTGTGTTTCTGGAGGCATCCCGAGTGGATGCTCCATTAGACATTTATTTCTCTATCTAATTGGTGGGCTTGGTCCATCTTAATGAAGTGACTGGGAACCAGAAGCTCTGGTCACCTTGGAACAGTCCGCTTGGCAGGACCACAGCATCCAGGGGTCTGGGGAGGGCCGCAGGGCAGTGGGGACCAGGGGTGGCAGGTGCTGTGGGTCAGGGGTGGGGGGAGGATTTGGGGGAAATTCTCCCAGAGGCTCTGGGAACATAAGCGGAAACCCAGGAGCTCTCCGACTTCCCAGGGCCCCTTTGCAGCCAAGTCTCACATGCATCAGCTGTCCCGGCCCTTGCATTATTGTTTATCTCTTTACAGGGGCACTGTGATGGAAAAGCATGGCTAGCTCCCTGCTCAGCACGTGTTGCAGCTTCTCAGTAAAATCTAGCTCTAGGTTTTGATGTGCAAACTTTGCTTCTTCGAAAGCTCTGGTGAGATTGTCCCAGCAACAAGTTCCGATTCCTTGTGATGACCCATGAAAACCACTTCATGAAGGTCTGAAGCTGACGCTTCAAGCACCAAAGAACTTTTAAACTCAATTCCCCAGCAAAAGAGGTAGGCCTGCACCCTTCCAGGTCAGAAAGGTCCCTCACAAAAAGGATTTTCATCTCCCCGAGGGCTATTTGACTCATGTGGAGCCACTCCCTGCCCCATCACCGCCATGGGGAGGGCACCTCTGAGCCTCCAAGGCAGCCAGAGGGTTAAACTCATTCCCAAATTCCTCTGTCACCCCTGCCATGCCCCCTCCAGCCTGGGCTATGCCCA